TGAGTGCTCACGTATTTCAGCAGCATTCATGGAGTCCAGATTATCGTGAAGATCCCAAGAGTCTTCCAGGAACCAAGTACACCAAAACTTTATGCTTGTCACATACATTGAGTCCCCACCAGAAATTAATACAGCTTGGGAGGAAGATCCAGTAATTCTCCAGCTCCCAGACTGCAGTGGGGTCTGCACTGATTTTGTGAGAACTTCAGCAGTAAATTGATATAAGTTAAGAGACATCTGCAGCTCAGAACTTTGTTGACCTCCTTTCTGGCCTCTTGTTGTTTTCACTTGGAAATTCTAAAGAGATTAAAGAAGTATTTGTGTGGGCTAGCCTTGGTTACTAAGTTGTGTTGTAGTGCAAAATTGAAAAGATAATTACAGTTGTTTGAATGACCCAGATTTCCAAGACTGCTAAAAGTGGTTGATGTCCATGATTATTATGAGGATAAACAAGTGAATCTGGATGTTCTGATGTTGGCAATGTGGGCTTTTTCTATATTTTGCCATAAGTCAGCATTAACTGATGCTAGAATATGCAAGCTGTCAGCAAATAGCTGTGAAGTAGAACATTTACCTGTGAAAAGAAAAATGTCACATTCTGCAGACTATAAATGGAAAGGATTGCTTTGAGAAGTATCTTAAAAATATCAATCACATCATTAGTTTCTGGAAATATTTCTACTCAGTGACAGTCTACATAGAAAATGCACAACAGAAAGCACCTCTGCACTTTACAAATTCCAGCCTCTCCTTTAGTCATTGATGTGAAAATGCAGAAATATGTATTTTAGTAGTTTTCTTCCAGTTGGATATAATGCTTCTGTTTCAAAAGCAGTTAGGTTGTTTGTTTTTTTTCATGTGTGGAAAATTATTTAATATTTCTGCCTTCTGTCAGGAAGGAAGTGGGGCACTTCTTCAAATTTTAAAATCCTTTGACCATTCATCACATATACAGGTCTGATTTTTCTTGAAAAGTTAGTACTGACTCAGTCAGACACATGCTGCTAACAGAGTCACCATTACTGCTTTGTAGAACAGATGGATTTGTGTTGGGTGGGGGATTTCCAAGTATCAACCTAACCCAGACTTTTTTTGGTTCTGAGACTTGATAGAATCACAGCACAGAGCAGTGGACCTTCAGGGCAGATTTGTATCCTTTCTCCTTAATTATGTGCTTGGGTAGGGTGGCAGGAGAACAAGCCTTTCTTGAAATGAGTAATTGAATGTTTTACAATCAATACCTTAATTTATGTAATACCCACAACCATATTTTAGGGTATGTAAATTTACAAGTGGTTTAGTGAATAGGTTATGATTGTTTTGAATATGAGTTCAAAGAGAATTTTTGAAACCCAATCTAAACAACACCAAGCTTAAACAAATAATTTCTTCCCTCACATAAAGTTAAAGAAGGAGTAAAGATCATGCATTAATAATTAATGCACATTCATAGTGTTTTTGATAGACCTTTATAACGAGGATGGGAGAAAAGCTGGGATGGTCAGGGTGACAGAAACCTGACATGAAACAGGTTACTAAAGCAGCTGGGAATGTGGTGTGCACTAACTATGAAGGAAAATCTCCAATTGTGAGAGAAAGATGAAGCATTTCTGATTTGTCTGCAGAAGTATTTCTAGGCAGTGTAAAGTGCAGTTCTGCAGGGAGTCTCCCTTGTCTTAAGGAGGGAAAGTCACAGCAAGTAAAACTTAGTAATAGCTGTGGCTTTCATGGTAGTGTGTATGGCATATTATTGTTTACACAGGACCTGATTTAACTTTGAGTCATCCTAGATGGCTAAACTCATCTAAGTATTGTTATTTAAGATACATAATTTAAGTTTCCATGTCTTTCTTTAATAGTATTTAGAAAAATTTTTAGTCTATTTTCTGCTTATAATGGTTTTCCATTATGGAATCATTCCAATCATTCCCTTAGGTATAGAAGTAGCCCTTTTTGTTTTTTTTTTTTTTGAGTTTCCTCCTATATTTATTTTCATGTCTTATACAATAAGACCCTTAGCTAAAGACTGTAGTTTTGGATGATCCTCAGTTTTGTAACTTTCATGTACATCAGAGATAAGTCAGCGAACAACAAAACGTGCAAAATCTTTGTAAATCACCTTATCCCATAGTTTAACTCGCTGATTTCTCATATATATATATCTTTCATCTACATTAATGCTTTTTATGTGTCCCAGACAACCATTGTCTCAAAACAGGAGTTGTTGGTGCGTTTGGGGAGTATTTAGTAATGAACACACAGAGAGGCAGCTCTGAATAAAAGAGGTAGAGATGAATTTTAGATGAAGAAGGAGGGAAAGCTTAGACAATTGGTTATTTGGTTTTTTTCAGGAAGGTGATATTGGGAAATAAAACAGAGTACAGTGGAACTGATAAAGGAGCCTGGTACCTGATGGAGCAGAAACCATGGGAGAGACAGACACAGTTAAGTCCTCCCTGGGCAATAAGTGACCAAGAAACACGTTGTGGAACTCTGTGATGTTACCAGGTGAAGTGATGTCATGAAGAATGTGTACCCAATAGGAGATTGTTAGTGAAAATGTTACCCTATAAAAGTGCCATACAAATAAACCCCTATGTAAACACCTTGTATACTCAATAAATGGGTTTCTGATCTCGACTTGGATGACCCCCGTCTCTCAGTTATGGATAGGTGATGTTTGAATAATTTGCCAAAAATACATTATTTTTTCTTTTCAAAAATTTAGTTTTCAAAAATATGGAAATGTTTGTTTCTTGGTAAGAAAGATCTCGTTTCCATGCTTCATTAGCATAAAAATATTTCATAATCTCAACTTTTTTTAGTTCCCAGAATGAAACATATTTTTTCGTTAGTCTTTTTTGCAAATAGTTTTATCACATGTACAGGCCTCACTGTTGTGAAGTCATATTAATGAGACCAATTGTTTTATAATTCTATGTAGTTTTATATTCCAGAATATGCATTGAAATAGGAGTGTATTCATATTTGACCATTTTCCCTACACTACAAAACAGGTCAAACTGGTATTTGCTAGAATGTATTAGAAGTGAAATGGAAAAAAAACCCCACCAAACAACAAAAAATCAAGGAGAAAATAGAGCTAAAAAGCTAGTTGCAATTGTTCTGTGAAATTGTGTGCATTGTGTACGGAAAGAAGTCTTTGTTGTCAAATAAGAATATTTGACAAGAGTATACCAGAGAAGTAGTATTGAAAGTATCCTTATGATTTCAGATGAAGAAACATCTGCCTTGGAGATTATGGTAGATAGAGCTAATAAAGCATTGCTTGTAAGATTTTGGGTGGGAAATCCCACAGTGCGTAGTGTAGCTGCTGATGTTAAAATTGTAGTGATGCTTCTGGTGTTGGCAAACGGAACGGGACACACCAACTCAAGAGGTTCTGTAAACTGGCTTCTTCCCTGGAAGATATTGTTTGTGTTGCAGAGCAATATAAGCTGAAGTTTTTATTCTCTACGTGCTACTTTATTGGGATGCTGGTAGTTTTGGTATGAGGGAACAAGCACCAAACCAGCAGGTATCCTGTTTAGACCAGACTGAAGGAATTGTGGTGGTCCCTCCCCACCATATTCATTATGCATAATTGGATTTTCCATAAGTGCAGTAAGCCTGGGAAAAAGGTGGGGGGGAATGGACACATGGGTTGTAGTTTGTAGCTCTAGTTTTCTGCCTTTTTGGTTTTTTTAATGGGAAAAATGGTAATATATAATGGGAAAATGGAAATGGGAATGTATTTCTGGTTTTCTTGAGAATGTGTTTTTCTTATATTTCATTTATTTATTATACTTTGCAGCTGTAGTCTAGGCATTTGATATCCATCCTGCCAACTGTAATAATTCTGAGTCAGTGTAAGTTTCTGCTTAATTACATATTTTCTGCTAAATTACACAAGAGGAGTGTGCAGGGATGGGTATAAGTAGAAAATTTCTTAGAAGAAAAACAACATATGTTTTCAACAGCTCTTTTTTATTGAGAGGAAACTGGTCTTAAGTCTTGTGTCTCTCCTCCAAGTCATGTGCACAGGTTGTCTGGTAGATTTTTGTTTCTGCATGTGTATGCAGTTGCCTAAGAGCTAAGTGATTTGAGCAGAAATTGTATCAAATCAGTAGATTACAGACAGTTCATAGTGGTTACAAAGAAAATAAATGAGAGCTATTGTTACTCTTCAAATGAAAATACCTCCCTCTGCAGATCAAAAGGCCAGTGGATACGTGGTTGTTTGCTTAGAGAAATCAGTTGTTGGATACACACACACTGAAAAAATGTTGGTCAATGACATCTCTGGTGTATTCTGTCTTCCAAATCATACAGGCAGCAATTTCACTTCACACTCAAGTTACCATTTTGCCTACCACAGAATGTGTTTTCTCATTTTCCCTCTCATAATTTGAACTGGAGAAATGTGTGGATTGATGTATTGAAGTAGTCCCTATGTGAATAAACTAAAGAGTATAAAAAACTTAATACCACAAAACATGAACCGGATTTTTATGTGAATTTTTTTTTTCCTATTAATTTATGCTTAAGTATACTGAACAATCTGCATATCTCAATGACTCTTAGAGGGGGGCAGTTTACCTGACTTACATTTGGGACTGTAGTTTGCTCTAGATACACTAACAAGTAAAGCTAACACACCATTGTTGAGAACTGCAACATGTATTTCATTCTCAGAAATATTGAGACGTGTCTGAAGTGTTTAAGAAAATCTCTGAATAAATAAAGCAGTAGTAAACCTGAGGAGACCTGAAAGTAAATTTTTTATCATCTTTTTTGACAAGTTTATATGTCAGTCATACCTGGAATCTAGTGATGAATAGGTTCTGACTTCAGAGAGCTTACAATATCACGTATTTTTTCAGGTTTATGATAATTTTCTTTGTAATTGTGTAGTAAAATTAACTGTATTCCTCAAAAGAATTTCTCATTAAAATATACTGAAAAAATTCTATTCTGTTTCTTTGATATGTTTCATGTAGGAAAGAAGAGAAAGGAAACGAAAGCTGACCAAAGAAATGGCAGAAAAAGCCACAAGGGAACTAGAAAAATTGCGGTTACAAGAAAAGGCTGACATAAAGTACAAAGAATGGTTAAAGAAGAAGATAGCTGAAGATGCAGAAAAGAAGAAAAAAGAGAAAGTATTAATGAACTGATCATTTATTTGGATGGAGTTACTTAATTTGTAACTTATTACAGATTAAGATTTGATATATTCAGATCTTACACTGAGTGTGTTGACATCAAATGGCAGTGTTGCACATGAAGAAAAAATCAAGAGTTGAAGTGTTAGTGCATTAAAGACACTGTGGTGTGGTCAGCAAAATAAGATGCATCTTAATGCATTTTTTTTAATAGCATTTGATGTTTTTCTCAGGGAAAAACTGGGATAACATGGAGGTTGGGGGTTGTTTGGTTTTTTGTCAGATTTAAACCAAAAAATGCATCTTTTCCATTGTTGGGAAGAGGTGTTTGTATTCAAAGAAATACTTGCAATACATTCAGCAGTCTGGAAATCTGAAAAAAAAATACTATTTTATGTATATTGTACAAGGCTTTGTCTAGGAGTGCATTCAATAATTATTTTTTTTTTAGGAAAAAGAAAAAGAACGGGAGGCTGAGCTACAAGAGAAGAAAACAAGATCAGAGAAAATCTTTAAGGAATGGCTGCAAAATGCTAGAAATAAACCACAGCCTGCTTTAAATGGTTATGGTTTCCCACATGGGAATTCTAAAGGTTTGTACATACAGTACACAAATACGTAGTGACTTGGATTTGTGGTTCCTTCCTTCCAATATTTTAATGTAAAATGAAGTCTAAGATACTCATCTAGTATCTAATTTTGGCACATAGGAATGATTACCTATACTATGGTATAAGTCAGGGAAACAGATTGAGACCTTTTGTATATTTTTCTTAGCCTTTTTTTTTTATTTGGGAGGAAAATTACATTATTTGAGATAATTGTGTGTTGTACCAAATTATGATTTTATTTGATTTTTCTTACTGGGCATAGGAATCACTAGAGCAAATCACTGGGTCCTGTGAAGCAAATTCAGAATGTCAGCATCCTTGTAAAGTTACTTTTCATGTTACAGAAGTTGTGTCACCTTTGCACACTTGAATCCCCCTTAGAAAAGAGGTGGGGTTTTGACACAAGAACCATTAGAAGCTGACAGAAATCCTGTCTGATAAAGGAGACAGGGGCATCAACCTGTATTCTGAGCTAAAATTTCCTTTCTGTTTTGCTTTTCACCTGCATCACACCTCCTTGGCTTCTGTAATCCTGTTCCTTTTTTTGTTTGAAAACATGTTCTTTTTCTATGCAACTAAATAATTACTTCTATTTGAGTTTGCAACAGCAATAGTTTTGAGACCAAAACTCTGGTCTCCAAATGTTTAAGGAACACGTATAAAGTAGGTGGAACAACCTTTACTCTTTTGCCTACATTTATTTGTAAATAGTGAAATACCTTGCCTTTGTGTTTTGGTTGCACTTTCATTACATCCTAACATCTGCAATCATTTATTTAAATGATTTTTGAAAAGTATTTGTCTACTCGTGTCATTCAGTATAATGTATTACAAACTTTGAAGTGTATCCATCGTGGTTGAGTAAAACAAAGTAGCCCATTTGTAGACATTGACAGTTTTTAAGAACACAAAGGACTGAGAATTCAGCCTGCTTATTATTTTAAGTAGAGGTGAAGAATATGCCAGTTACTGTTTAAAAAACAAAAAGGTGGAATATTTATTATTTTGGATCACTTAAATTATGTGATGTGCCTGTGCGTCTTTCTCTGAAGATGTTGTATTTAGTCCAGATAATTATTATAACTGCTTGCATTGGAAAGTTTGTAGTGTGAATATTCTTTCTTAGTTATGTGTACTTTCTAAATGTTTTAGGGAGTGCTGATAGAACTTTGTATCCAGCTCCAGCATATTGTAACCCCATTCCTTGGAAACCGGTACACGTGCCTCTCCCAAAGGAAGAGAGTGTTCTTACCACAAAGAAGAGTAAGAGACCTGTGTCTTGTCAACCACATTCATCTTTACCAACGGTGATTTCCAAGCCCAAGAGTAGCCCTTGTAATGGATCCCTGTGCAGAAAGAAGTCATAGTCCAGAAAAAATGTTGTTGCAATCTTGAACAAACTGGGCCATAAATGTGAAGTTCTATGTAGTTATGTGTCCAAAGCAGATTGCTTTGTGCCTTTCTTTTTTTTATTTTTCCCATTTTTGTGAGCAGGTTTTGTGTTTACTTCTAGTTGACCAATCAGGCTTTTAATGTTTTTTCTATATTGCATTTTATTAAAAAAAAAAAAGGAAAAGATAAATTGTAATTGTACTGTACATCAATATTTAATATTACCTCAATATTAATAAATTCACAGGATTGTTTCTTCCTTTCCTCACTTGTTGTTGAAGGAGTTCTTTTGTACATGTAATTATTCTTTTGGGCAACAGTATTAACTAGTTATTTTAAAGATGCTATTTGTAACAGATTTTAAAACAATTCTTGGCTTAATGTGGAAGGAATTCAAGGCCTGCATGAGTTCCAGGGTTATCATGTGACTGGGATTACAGAGATATGGTGGGATAGCTTACATTGCTGGAGTACTGCAATGAATGGATGTAGGCTCTTTAGGGAAACACAGGGTTTTTGCTGGACCTGATATGTACAAACCAGGGAGAACTGGTCAGGGATGTGAAGCTTGGGGTCAGTAATGACACACATGACTCTTGTGGGATTTGGTGGGATGCACCTGAGAATGCTGAGGAAGTGGCAAATGTCATTGTAAGGATACTCTCAACTATCTTTGAGAGCTCTGGTGATAAGGGGAGGTTCCTGAGAACTAGAAGAAAGCAAATGTTAGCCCAGTCTTCAAGAAGGGTGTGTATGCAGAACTACAGGCCAGTAGTCAGCCTCACCTCGGTCACCCAGACGGATGTTGAATGTGGCAAGTGCAGCCAGCAGCCTCCTGGGCTGCATGAGGAAGAGAATTCCCCAAAGGAAAGCAGTCTGTCCCTTGTACCATAATTATTTGAGACCACATTTGGGGTGCTATGCCCATTTCTGGGCATGACAGTAAAAGACTGATGTTATCCTGGAGTAAGCTCAGTGAGGGGCCACAAAGATGATTCAAGGATTTCAGCATCTGACAGACAGAAGCTGAGAGAGCTGTGACTGTTCAGTGTGAAGGAGAGAAAGTTCAGTAATATCTGAACGATGTGTAAATACCTGATGGATGGAGAGAGAGCAGACCCTTCTCAGTAGTGCCCAGTGTGAGGAGAAGAGGTGGTGAGTGCAAATTAAAATATAGGAAATTCCATTCAAACATGAGGCAAAATTTTTTACAGGGAGAGTCATCAAATGCTGGAGCAAATTGCCTAGTGATGTGGAGTTTCCATTCTTGGATATTCTCAAAACCTGACATAGCCCTGAGAAACCTTCTCCAGTTTGCCCTCTTTTGAACAGTGGAGCTGGACTGGACAATTTCTAGGGGTTCATTCCAATCTCAGCAATTCTGTTACTAATGGTGAAAAGGAAAAAGCAGAAATAAAGAAGACTTATTTTTCTTGTTGTAGTTGTATTACTTTGAGAAATATCTTGTTATCCTTGAAAAGTTACAGTATTTAAAACTATATTGCCTATTATAAAATTTACGTGGTAAAAAAGCACATTAGGTCACATTCTGGAATGTGTTCTATTGATTCTAGTTCTAGTCTTAATAGAATATTTTAATTTCTTCAGAGCAAGTTGTGAAAAATAGTAAACTATCTCATGCCAAGTTTATACTTACTACTTGTACCATTACTTTGTGTGAATCAGTTTATACAATATGCCTGTGTCTGTTCTTTCTAGATAGTGGCAAATGCTAACAAAACTGCAACACCTTGCACTAATAGATTATTTGGTTTGTGTTTGCATTTAGACTTTGTGAAAACCTTAATTTTACTGTACGCATTTAGAAGTCTGGAGTCTGTAAAACACATGGAATGTCAAACTGTGTTTCTGTTAAGTAGCAGCAGAAGTCTGCACATTATCTTCAGGATGTAGAACTCTGTGTCCATCTTTTTCTGTAAGGACCTCTGCAATAGATGGGTATGAAAGTAGTGGATCAATAGATTAGTTGTTAATCTCACCATCTCACCTTGCCATGTGGAAATGTCTAATCAGACTCAGAAGTTTCAGAATTATGTAAGCTTGTGAGTTTAAGATGAAGGGGAAATATTTTACTGTAATGCAAGTGGTTAATTTTGGATTGGCTCACAGAGATTTCTTTGGACTCTGATTCAGTTGAACAGTCATATACTATTTTTTGGTGCTTTCTCTAACAGGTTCTCTGAATGTGGCTACCAGTAAGGTATGTTGACATAATTATCTGAGTGTATATTTGTGGCTTTTCACATTTATTTCCTTGTAGTGAAATAAAATTGACTAGTGGACTTACAACCCATAAAATAGAAGCTTTAAAATGAGGCCCTTGCTGTAGCTTATCCATAGCATTGTAAAGACAGTTCTGTCCTAACTAAATTACAAAAAAAGGCTAAGGCAAGATAGCTGCTGAATGCACAGATAGGCCCAATTCAATCCACTCAGTGATTTTACTAAAAAAGAGAAATAATATTTGGATTTTTCCCAACAAGATATCAACTGCACAATAAAATGGGCTGGCCTTGTAGCATATTTTTAGATTGTGTGCTACAGAAGGCTATAATTTTGTGGTGTTGTGGCAAATCATTTACACCATTCTTTCTCAGATGTTAGAAGATAAAATCTTGACACTTGGTTTTTGCTTAAAGAGCATTCTGTATTCTGTTATTAAGGTCTCTTCTGGATTTCTCTGCTCACAAAATTTCACAGTAAATCAAGTTATGGAGTCTCAAGTTACTCACTGGAACCAATACAAGATATTGTATCTTGATGCCTATGCTGCTAAAACACGAGGCTTAACCTCAGATTTTTTTTCGTCCCCGTGCTTTTGCAGAACTTCTGGTTGTAAGAATTCATAGACCACTTCAAAATAATGACTGATGCATCCTTCTAGGATTCACAGCTTTTCCATTTTTCTATCTGTTGGTCATAAATGGAATGCCACACTCAACCTCACTGTGAGGGATTACATCTCCTGTGAGCTGGGTTTGAAAATCACTGTGTAGGTGCTCCATAATGAAGTGACTTTCCAGTGACTGACAGCAAATCTTTGTGCAGTTGTTTCGAGTTGAAAGTCTACATGCAGTGAAGTGGATCAGAAGTCCTAAAGAGCCTGTCATGAGTAAGAGGTGACTGTGGTTGCATTCATAGGAAGTTTTCTGGTTAATGTAGCACAATGAAACTCTTACTGGTGGTACTTTTGTTACTGGTTCTGCTGTGGAGCCAAGGCTTCACCTGAACTAATTAACCAATAACATCAGATTATAATCATGCCCTTGCCAGTGTAATGTTAAGTTGTAAAATTAATTCATTAATATGTCCTTTAAAAAGTCAAATGAAAGAGCAGTCACAAGTTCTGATATGACTTTCACTGGGATATTTATGTGAGTAAATATGGAAGGCTTCAGCCTTTATTGCTGTGGTCGAAGGTGAGTGTTCCATAGTGCTGTTACCTGGCAACATCAGGAGCCACATTTAAATTCAATACCAAAAAGGAAATCTGATCACCCTGATCTAGTAAAGCATATGAATACTTGGTTAACTTGAAATGTGAGGGGAGATCATTGATAAAGAAGGGCTAAAGCAGACATGCTGTCTGGGATTTGAGGCCTCTGACCTAAAGCTTGTTCAGTTACCAAAGCCTCCATTTCATATGTAAGGTCATGTCTCTGTTTTCATATGTGCAACTCATTTTACAATGGTATATTGGACAATTCTATAAAATTGTAGCTAAGGGAGGCACATTTTTGGAAAATGTGAAGGTTTTTTCTCAATTAGATGGACTTAAATATTTGGTTGGTTGGTCCAGTTTACTGACTGAAACAGGAATTGCAAATACCTAATTCACAGAGGAATATGGATTTACAGAAAATTGTCAGGATTTGGAAAGTGATAGACTTGAAGCTCTTAAAACCTATTGAACTTTTCTGTGGACAGATGCAAGAGTGCATTCAATTATATTTCAGTTATATTGATGCTAATGATATCATTACAAAGGATTCAGACTTTGGTTTCTTTCACAGGACTCACTACTAAAATTATTTCAGTATTATTAGTACTAAACAACAGAAAGTACCTTAACCCAGCTTGAATAAATATAAGTGCTTTTGTGTATAGGTCCTGTGGAAGATGGGTCATTGACTTTTACAGGCAATTTGTTTAAACAGTGCAAGGTTTTGTATTTTGGGACAAAGGCAACAAGTTGTTAATTCATCCAGCAATGCCAAGATGTTAATAGATGCTAGAATGTTTTCTCTGTAATTTGAGTCTGACTGAAACAACAAAACCCCTACAGGTTTTATTATACAATACCAAAGTATGTGGTTTTACAGGTACAAAATCTGTAATGTGTAGCTCCTTTCTGGTAAATCAGGGAAAACTCTTCAATTTCCTCTTTACATTAGAACATCCATCTTTACATATCAGTTCCTGGAAGATATGTAGAATATCAGTACCCAGGAGGAAAGCAGGATGGCTGTGATATGCCTGAGATTGAAGAGCCCTTCAAAGGTACTGGTAAAATACATACCAGCCTTCCCTAACAAAACTGATCAGGTTGTAGAGGATGGATCCAAGGAGTTCCCCTGTTGTTCTTGCTGATGCACTCATTTAAAGGGCTAATGCCAATTACTTGATTTCCAGTGATCAGAAGTGGTTTCTGTCTTTGTTAGGGTATCTGTTCTGGGTTGAGCATAGCTCACAGTACACTGAGTTGGGCAATAACAGATAGACAGGATATGTGTATTGGGTCTGGCTGAGCTGGAGTTCATTTCCCCATTGCAGTCTTCACAGTGCTGAGCTTTGCATTGCCAGCTAGAAAGGTGTCGAAAACAAAATTGCAAAAACAATTTCCATACCAAATGTAACTGCCAGGATGCAGGAAACAAAGGTGAAAGGTGGATGGATGGCAGCTGTGGCTGCAGCTGTGACTGGGCACAATATGATACATCTGCTGCATTATTTATTTCACATCATATCAGAATTTATGCAGTCTTGAACTGGGAACAGTAAGTTATTTTGCCCATCCAGCACTTTCTCCTGTGCCACTCTGTGCAGTTTGTCAGAGGTGTCCCAAGCCAAAAGTGCATGAGAACAGCTTTAAAGTACCCTCATCAGTAGAATCTGGACAGTGATGTTTATTAAGGTAAGTGCCAAAGCTGCTGCACTGATACAGGGTTGA